ACACAAATACAAAAAAATTACCTGGGTATGGTGGTACATGCCTGAAGTCCCAGCTACTCAGGAGGCTGAGGCAGGAGAATCACTTGAATCCGGGAGGCAGAGGGTGCAGTGAGCCTCTCTTGCAAAAAAAAAAAAAAAAAAAAAAAGAATGCTGCAGATCCATTCCTGCCTCATGGCCTCGGTCCCACCTCTTCCTCCCACCTGGCATGCTGTCCCCACCGCCACCTTCACGGCTGGCTTCTCCTCCTTATTCAGGTCTCAGCTCATATGCATTTCCTTGGGTCTAAAGCACATAGTACTATTTTATTTGCTTACTGACACTGTGTTTCCCTGTTGAGTTTATTTTCTTTCTTTTTCGTTTTTTAGAGACAGGGTCTTGCTCTGTTGCCCAGGCTGGAGTGCAGTGGCACAATCACAGCTCACTGTAACCTTGAATTCCCGGTCACAAGTGATCCTCTGGCCTCAGTCTCCAGAGTATATGGGACCACAGGCCTGTGCCATGACACCTGGCTAATTTTTTAATCTTTTTAAGAAACGGGATCTCGCTATGTTGCCCAGGCTGATCTCAAACTCCTGAGCTTAAGTGATCCTCGTGTCTCAGCCTCCCGAAGTGCTGGGATTACAGGCATGAGCCACTGCGTCTGGCTGAATTTATTTTCTTCTTCCTAGTTCCTCTTCCCTCCATGACTGGAAAGGTAAGTTCCCCAATGGCAGAGACCTGGTGGGCCTTGCCCCTCACTCTGTCTCAGCAACTAGAAAACTGACAGACAAAGCCGGGAGCAGTGGCTCACACCTGTAATCCCAACATTTTGGGAGGCCGAGGCGGGCAGATCACCTGAAGTCAGAATTCAAGTCTAACCTGGCCAACCTGGTGAAACCCTGTCTCTACTAAAAATACAGAAATTAGGCTGTTGCGGTGGCTCACACCTGTAGTTCCAGCACTTTGGGAGGCCAAAGTGGGTGGATCACCTGAGGTCAGGAGTTCCAGACCAGCCTGGCCAACATGGTGAAACCCTGTCTGTACTAAAAATACAAAAATTAGCCAGGCATGGTGGCAGGCACCTGTAATCCCAGCTACTTGGGAGGCTGAGGCAGGAGAATCTCTTGAACCCGTGAGGCGGAGGTTGCAATGCAATCACGCCATTGCACTCCAGCCTGGGCAACAAGAGAGAAACTCTATCTCAAAAAAACCATACCAACACAAAACAAAAATTAGCTGGGCATGGTGGCGGGCATCTGTATTCCCAGCTACTTGGGGGGCTGAGGCAGGAGAATTGCTTGAACCCAGGAGGTGGAGGTTGTGGTGAGCTGAGATCATGCCACTGCACTCCATCCTGGGTGACAGAGTAGGACTCTGTCTCAAAAAAAAAAAAAAAAAGAAAAGAAAACTAGCAGGCACATAGTGGGGGTTTCGACTCTTACTGTCCAGGCAGCATAAACGATGCACCAGAACACACTGCTAGTGAGCAGCAAAGGCAGGTTCCAGTCTACCGACTGCTGAGACCTTGTGAGAAAGTTACTTCCTCCTGCCAGTAGCCGGCTTGTGCTACAGAGCCAGGCAATGCCTTCAGGTCCAGAACAGGCCTGGGGAGCACGTGGGAGTCTCTCTAGCCTAGGAAGACCACGTCCTGTGCAGCTGCTATCGAAGGCAGCATCTCTGGGAGGGGCAGCCTGACCATCCCCTTCCCCGAGATGCTCAGGTACATGACAGAGGAGAAGGGTGAGGACCTCGGCTCCAGAAACACCATTTCCAGCTCCCCACCTTTCCCACAATGTCCACATCCCCACTCACCCAGCTGCCTCCTGGAAGGCTTGGGACTGAGTCTAGGCCTGAGCCCAAGTAGCATTTTGTTTGTTTGTTTTGAGACAGAGTCTTGCTCTGTCACCCAGGCTCGAGTGCAGTGGCACGGTCTTGGCTCACTGCAACTTCCGTCTCCCTGGTTCAAGGGATTCTCCTGCCGCAGCCTCCTAAGTAGCTGGGACTACAGTCATGTGCTACCATGCCCGGCTACTTTTTGTATTTTTAGTAGAGCTAGGGTTTCATCATGTTGGCGAGGCTGGTCTCGAACTCTTTACCTCAAGTGATCCACCCGCTTTGGCCTCCCAAAGTACTAGGGGAGTGAGCACCCAAATTGAGACACTGTACCTGGCCAGGATTTTTCTTTCTAGTGACTCTCCTAAAGCCGGAGAACGGCCATTCAGCAGCAAGGGGAGTGACTTTCCCACTACAAACTGGATTCCTGGTAGCCAGCTTCCTGGCTCCCTGTCATCGACCCACACAGTCCAGCAAGCGAGACGCGGGTCAACCTTTAAAGCCACGAGGGCTCTCACTGGATTCAAAATGATAAAAATAAAAGCCAACTGTGTATTTCCGAGGGTTGAATAGGAAGTGACAATCACCATAACAGCAGAGGCTAACATTAACATAACTACGTTAGCAATTACTTTGTATTTAGTTAGTTTCAGCAATTCCTATGTATTTGAGGTTCCACAGGTATTATTTTCCGGGATCCATAGCACAGAAACATGAGATTGAAAGGATTACCAAGGACTACTGCCCCTAGATGAAAGGAGGGAAAACCGAGGCCCAGAGAACTTAAGTAACTCGCCTAAGAGCACACAGCTAGAAAAGCTGACTGTTTCAAGTCTGCTTCAAACCAACCTAGTGTTCTCTTCCTAGTCAAATGACTCCTCAGGCCATTCACCTGTAAATGGAACTAGTGACTGAGGCAGTCAACAAGACCACATAATTGGTAACATCACTTTCTGCTCAGTTAGCTTTTTCTTTTTCTTTTTCTTTTTGTTTTTGAGACAAGAGTCTCACTCTCTGTTGCCCAGACTGGAGTGCAGTGGCTCGCGATCTCGGCTCACTGCAACTTCCGTCTCCCAGGCTCAAAAAATTCTCGTGCCTCAGCCTCCTGAGTAGCTAGGATTACAGGTATGTGCCACTACGCCTGGCTAATTTTTTGTAGAGATAGGGTTTAACCATGCTGGCCAGGCTGGTCTCAAACTCCTGACCTCCAGGTGATCCACCCATCTCAGCCTCCCAAAGTGCTGGGATTACAGGCGTGAGCCACCACGCCCAGCCTGCTCAGTTAGCCTTTCTAAGAAGTGCTAGCCGGGCGTGGTGGCTCACGCCTGTAATCCCAGCACTTTGGGAGGCTGAGGCGGGTGGATCACGAGGTCAAGAGATAAAGACAATCCTGACCAACATGGTGAAACCCCGTCTCTACTAAAAATACAAAAATTAGCCAGGCATGATGGCGCTCGCCTGTAGTCCCAGCTACTCAGGAGGCTGAGGCAGGAGAATCGCTTGAACCTGGGAGGCAGAGGCTGCAGTGAGCCGAGATCAAGCCACTGCGCTCCAGCCTGGCAACAGAGCGAGACTCTGTCTCCAAAAAAAAAAAAAAAAAAAAAGTGCTGATGATCCTTCTAGCAACTTGGCATTTCTAGCTTTCTTGTTTGCTTGTTTGTTTTACTGAAAAGTAATCTCCACCTGTCCTAACTTTCAAAGAGTCCCTGCCTCCTCTAAAAAGGGCCTGGGCTAGAAAAAGTACCTGGAGAAGTGAGGACCCGCCAACCCCCACCAGACTAATCTCAAACTCTTGGGGAAAAGCCTGAAATGATCCTTTTCCTTGGAATTTATTGACTAATTTAAAAGGAAACGGCTGCAGTTTGCACACTGACACTAAGCTCAAAAGCAAGACGGAGAATAACCCAAGGAGACTTGGCCTGGCTGGCTACTTAAAAAAAAAAATTTTTTTCCCCCGAGTTGGCAGGATATTGTCACCCTAAAAAGCAGTGGCAAAGATTATCCTCTCACAAATATGGATAGCTTCCCCTTTCCTCTGACCGCTCCTGCCCACGTGGCCCTAGAGGCTGGGACCTTGTCAGTGACATGTGACTCGGTTGACACTCATTTGACACAAAAACATGTGTCTGGCCAAGAGAAGCGGCTTTAAAAAAATCTAAGAAATTTCCTCAGGCGCCATTTGCTCCCCCGTTCCCAGTAGGGGAGACCTCAGTGGGCAGGACCCAGAAACGTCCCATCACCAGGAACAAACCCCTGCAACCCCAAACCAGGAAACATCAGGTCTCAAACAGCAGCCCAGAGAAAAGCACTCAGGTTTCTGTTCCTCTAAAGCAGCCCCTCATGATCACTCCTCCCTGCCATGAACTTTGATTTCTGCAAACCAAATCCTCCACGCTAAAGCCAAATCGATTCCTAGCTCCTCCATGAAACTCCTCCCAGAGAGAAGGTGGCAGGTTTAGGAGTGGGCTGCAGTGTTGAAATCAGGACTAGCTGACAGTTATTTTATCAAACCAAATTCAGAAACAGTAGATAGAAGGAAAAAGTTCAAAGATAAGCCGTAAGCGAAATTCCTGGAAGGAATGAGGAGTCCCCGTACTGCAGAAAAAGGGCGATGTCAATGATTCTCCCCATTTTATAGGATGGAAAACCGAGGCCTCAGATGGACAGGCACTTGTCCAAGCTCTGAGTCCTGGGGACAACTGCAAGGCTCTTAAGGAAGAAGACAATCGCTTAGGGATCTGGAAGGAGGCCCGGGTGGTGGTTGCCCCACCTGGTTCCGGAGGTGGAGGTTGGGGAGACCCAGCGGGCCCCGCCCATACTTTCCCTCCTGGTCCCGCCCACCCACCTTGGCCCCGCCTCGTCCCTCCCTCGCTCCCATTGGCCCAGCCTCCCCAGGCCCGCCCCTTCGCGCCTCCCGACATATAAAAGCCCCCCGCCCCGGCCAGCCGACCTCCACTAGCCGCCGGCCTGCGAGCGCCCGCCCCTCGCGGGGGCCGGGCCGCGGGGACGGGGGCGGGTGGTGTCGTTCCAGCCGGGCCCCGGCCCCCTCCCCCACGGTCCAGACAGTCGCCGCCGCCATTTTGACCGCCCGCCCCTTCCCCCCGGACTGTGATTACAGAGACATCCACCGCCCCGGCCCCGCCGCCCGCCTCGGTCCGGCCAGCCACCCCGGGGCCGCCCCGGTTACCTCCGCTTCTCCCCACTGCTCTCTCGGAAAGGCTTTTCGGAGGTCTCGGAGTCGATGTTGGGAAGGGGACTGGACGTGCTGGGGTCCCCGGGCCAGGCCGGGGGGGTGGGGGTGGGGGTCTGCCGGGCGGTTGTTGTTGTTGACTCGCGTTGCCGGGTTGCTTGGTCGCCACGACTACCGTGGCTATGGCGCCTCCGTTTCCCTCACCGGGGCAACTGTTGCTACCCACCCTACTTACGTCACGCGCTGGGGGCGGGGCCCCGGGTGATTGGCGGCGCCAGGAGAAGTGATTGGACGGCGCCAGGCCTTGCAGATAAACTATTGGTCCCAATGCATGCTTTTCAACACCCTCTCGACTTCCCAGCGATCTGATTCATCGGAATGAATGTCTATCAAAAGAAACTGAACCCTCAAAGGCAGCCGGGCCCGTCACTCCCGCAGGGAAGCAGCTGGCTAAGAATAAAGGGGTGGGACTTGTGAGGACGGGATTGGTTTGCCGCTGTAAAATCGACCTCCTGGTTCGACTAAAAGGACGTCAATCTACCAAAGGTTTGCCGCGCTCTCTAGCTGGAGGTCGTGCGCATGCTTGGCACGCAAGGCCGATTGGGAGTTGTAGTTTGCTCCTGCGTATACTTTACATGTCTTACCAAATTAAAAAGGCGAGAAAGGAAGGCTCCGCTCCAGATTTCTGTCTCGCTCGGTGGGCCAGTTTCTGGCCTCTTGCGCTGACGTCAAGGGAGGAATGCGGTGACGCAGCGCAGACCCTCTGTGACGACAGCAGCGAAGGCCGGGCTCGGGGTTCCATTACGTCACTGGGCGCGCATTACCCCGCCTCCACTGCCCATGGCCGCGTCGGGGTTGGGTGGACGCGGGAGGCCGGGGCGGGGTTCGATCCCAGCTCCCACCCGCTGGGGCGACATCCTCCTCCACCCAAGCCGGCCAGACAGCGCGGCCGCCGCGCCCTCTGCCGCCTCCCGGTCCCCTCCAGCCGGAAAAGGTCACCGCTGCCTGGGTGATCGCGGCTATCTCTGCCCTGCAGGCGGTGCGGCCGCCCTGGGAAAGGTCTCTGCAAGGCGGGGGACTTCATTAGCGGCTTCAACCGCGGTAGATAAGCAAAGGTCAGCTCCCGGCCCAGCCCAGGGAGCTCGGTCCGCCCAGGAGAGCTCACCACAGTCCCCGCCACACACACACCTCCCACACATACGCTCCTCCGTGCCTCAGTTTCCTCAAGTGACTGTCCGGGTGCTGCAGGACGAGAAGAGACAGAAACAGAGCCCGGACTAGGGTGAGCATCTTGGGCGCAAAAACTCAGTCATCAAGATAATCTTCTAATTCAGTATTTGTTAAATATCCAAATTAATGGGAAAAAATCTATGATGAACAAAACATCACATCACAATTTTAAATAAAGACAGGATCCGCCAACACAGGGATTAAGGTGAGATGCGTTGTGCAAGCTCAGAGTCAGATCTTGTGTTTAAAATAATTTTTTTTTTTTTTTTGAGACGGAGTCTCGCTCTGGTGCCCAGGCTGGAGTGCAGTGGCGCAGACTCTGCTCACTGCAAGCTCCGCCTCCCGGGTTCACGTCATTCTCAGGCTTCACCCTCCTGAGTAGCTGGGACTACAGGCGCCCACCACCATGCCCGGCTAATTTTTTGTATGTTTAGTAAAGACGCGTTTTCACTGTGTTAGAGCCAGGATGGTCTCGATCTCCTGACTTCATGATCCGCCTGCCTCGGCCTCCCAAAATGCTGGGATTACAGGCATGAGCCACCGCGCCCGGCTAAAATAACATTAAAAATATATATATATTTGTCATTGATTTCGTTTTTATATTAAATTTTAGGTTTTAACTTTTTATTTTATTTTTATTTATTTTATTTATTTATTTATTTATTTTTGGAGACGGAGTCTGGCTCTGTCGCCCAGGCTGGAGTGCAGTGGCGCAGACTCTGCTCACTGCAAGCTCCGCCTCCCGGGTTCAGGCCATTTTCCTGCCTCAGCCTCCCTAGTAGCTGTGACTACAGGCGCAGGCCACCACGCCCGGCTAATTTTGTTTTTGTATTTTTAGTAGAGATGAGGTTTCACCGTGTAAGCCAGGATGATCTCGATCTCCTGACCTTGTGATCCGCCCGCCTCGGCCTCCCAAAGTGCTGAGATTACAGGCGTGAGCCACCGCGCCCGACCAACTTTTTATGTTTTAAGTATCAGTTATGACTGAGCTCTTTGGCCTTCTCTGAAATTTTGCACTCTCATCCCAGGTAGGCCCTAGAACAGCAAGAGGAAAAGAAAACAGGCTCAGAGAGCCCTGAAGTCTAATGGCAGCCCTGCTGTGTGGCATTCAGAAAGTGACTCCACCTGAGTTTGTTCCCTAATGCAACCAACATTATTCCCTCGGTGCAATGCCCTGGGCTGTAAAAGTGAAAAAAGGTGACTTCATTTATGGTGGCTCACACCTGTAATCCCAGCACTTTGGGAGGTCAAGGTAGGAGGATCGCTTGAGCCAAGGAGTTCAAGACCAGCCTTGGCAACAAAGCAAGACACCTGTCTCTACAAAAATTAGCTGGGCATGGTGGTGTATGCTTGTAATCCCAGCTACTCCAGAGGCTGAGGTAGGAGGATTACTTGAACTTGGGAGGTGCAGGTTGCAGTGAACCAAGATTCTGCCACTGCACTCCAGCCTGGGCGACAGAGCGAGACTCTGTCTCAAAAAAAAAAAGCAATTAGCTAAGCGTGGTGGCATGCACCTGTGGTCCCAGCTACTCTGGAGGCTGAGGCTGGGAGGATTGGTTCAGCTGCGGAGGTGGAGGCTGCAGTGAGCAATGATTGTGTGGTCCAGCCTGAGTCTCAGAAAAAAAAAAAGGAAAAAAGAAAAGAAAACAACAGAAAGCAAACAACTCCCTTGACTTTGCATTCTAGAACAGGATACAAAATAAACAGTGAGATAAATATATAAGATAGGCTGGCCAGGCACGGTGGCTCACACCTGTAATCCCAGCACTCTGGGAGGCCGAGGCAGGCAGATCACAAGGTCAGGAGATCGAGACCATCCTGGCTAACACGATGAAACCCCATCTCTACTAAAACAAAAAATTAACCGGGCGTGGTGGCGGGCGCCTGTAGTCCCAGCTACTCGGAGGCTGAGGCAGGAGAATTACTCAAACCCAGGAGGTGGAGAGTGCAGTGTGCCAGGATCACGCCACTGCACTCCAGCCTGGGCGATGTTGCGAGACTTCATTTCAAAAAAGATGAAAAATTAACAAATAATACATAAATAAAGACCTTGCTGATAAAACAGGTTGCAGTAAAGAAGCTGTCTCAAACCCACCAAAACCGAGATGGCCATGAGAGTAACCTCTGGTCCTCACTGCTACACTGCCACCAGCACCATTACAGTTTACAAATGCCATGGCAACGTCAGGAAGTTACTTTGTATGGACTAAAAAGGAGAGGCATGGAATAATCCACCCCTTGTTTAGCATATCATCAAGAAATAATAAGGCTGGGCGTGGTGGTTCACGCCTGTCATCCCAACACTTTGGGAGGCTGAAGCTGGCAGATCACTTGAGGTCAGGAGTTCAAGAACAGCCTGGCCAGCATGGCGAAACCCCGTCTCTACTTAAAATACACAAAAAAAAAAGAAAAAGAAAAAGAAATACAGCCCTTGAGACTGCTCTATGGAGTAGCCATTCTTTTATTCCTTACACATTTGCTCCCACTTTACAGACTCACCTGGAATCCTTTTTTTTTTTTTTTTTTTTTTTGAGATGGAGTCTCACTCTGACGCCCAGGCTGGAGTGCAGTGGCACGACCTTGACTGACTGCAACCTCCGCCTCCCAGGCTCAAGCGATTCTTCTGCCTCAGCCTCCCGAGTAGCTGCGACTACAGGCGAGCACCACCACACCTGGCTAATTTTGGTATTTTTAGTAAAGATGGGGTTTCACCATATTGGCCAAGCTGGTCTTGAACTGAGCCACCGTGCCAGGCCCTGAATTCTTTCTTGCGTGAGATCCAGGAACCCTCTCTTGGAGTCTGGATCAGGACCCCTTTCCTGTAACATCTTCACCCCAGGATCACGAAGCTGGGGGAACCAGAGCCCATCTCTTTTCATGGGATTTTCCAGTGCCCTGGGTGTGACCCTGGATGGGAGAAGAGGAGAAGCAGCAGCTCCAGTCTGCCTGGAATTGCCAGCTGAGCCCCAGCCCTGACATATCCCCAAGAATTAATGAGACTTCCAGGCAGGCAGTGCCCACGAATGAATCCCAGCTGGCAATACAAGTCACATCAGGGTCCCAGGACTAGCCATGGGGTCTTCATTGTGGGGAGGGAACTTAGAAGCCCTATTTCCACCTCCCACCCATTTCTCCAATGCCCACAAGTAGCTGGACCAAGCCCGGAGACCATGTCGTCCATCAAAAATATTCAGCTGGACGCGGTGGCTCACACCTGTAATCCCAGCACTTTGGAAGGCCTAGACTGGCGGATCACCTGAGGTCAGCAGTTTGAGACCAGCCTGTCTAACATAGTGAAACTCTATCTCTACACACAAAAGTTAGCTGGGCATGGTTGTGCGCGCCCTTAATCCCACCTACTTGGGAGGCTGAGGCAGAAGAATGGCTTGAACCTGGAAGGTGGAGGTTGCAATGAGCTGAGATCACGCCACTGCACTCCAGGCTGGGAAACAGAGCGAGACTCCATCTCAAAAAAAATTCATTATAAGACTTTGTGACTGGAAATGCAAGGTGGAGGCTGAAATGTTCTATATTTTTATCTGCTGGAGATTGTACAGCATATAGTCGGCCCTCCCTGTATCCACAGATTACACATTGGAAGAGTCAACTAACTGCAAATCAAACATTCGAATAGGCCGTGCTCTGGTACTGGTATAAAAATAGGTACATAGGCCGGGCGTGGTGAGTCAAGCCTGTAATCCCAGCACTTTGGGAGGCCAAGGTGGGTGGGTCACCTGAGGTCAGGAGTTCAAGACCGGTCTGGCCAACATGGTGAAACCCTGTCTCTACTAAAAATACAAAAATTAGCTGGGTGCAGTGGTGGGCGCGTGTAATCTCAGCTACTAGGGAGGCTGAAGCAGGAGAATCACTTGAACCTGGGAGGCGGGGGTGAGCCGAGATCGTGCCACTGCACTTCAGTCTGGGCAACAGAGTAAGACCCTGTCTAAAAGAAAAAAAAAGCACATAGACCAATGGAACAGAATAGAGAACTCAGAAATAAACCCAAATACTTGCAGCCAACTGATCTTCAACAAAGCAAACAAAAACATAAAAGTGGGGAAAGGACACCCGTTTCAACAGTAATGCCGGGATAATTGGCTAGCCACATGTAAGCGAATGAAACTGGATCCTTATCTCTCACCTTATACAAAAATCAACTCAAGATGGGTGAAGGACTTAAATCTAAGACTGGAAACTATAAAAATTCTGGAAGATAACATTGGAAAAACCCTTCTAGACATTGGTTTAGGCAAGGATTTTATGACCAAGAGCCCAAAGACAAATACAGTGAAAACAAAGATAAATTCCTGGGACTTAATTACACTAAAGAGCTGGCGCGGTGGCTCAAGCCTGTAATCCCAGCACTTTGGGAGGCCGAGACGGGCGGATCACAAGGTCAGGAGATCGAGACCATCCTGGCGAACACGGTGAAACCCCATCTCTACTAAAAATACATA